TCCTAACTGCTGATATTTGTCTGTCTAACCTGCTTACATCTCCTTGTTCATGTGAAAAAATAATTTCTGCATTTTAAACAGCTCGAATCGCATAACAGGGCAGTGACATCATTTCAGAGAAACTGAGCCTTTGGTCATATTATAAAAACAGACACAGGCTTTATTTGGACATGCGACTTTACTGGACCTTTACAGGACTCAGGCTTCAATGTCAGACGTAACATCACTAGTCCTGTATTTACTTCTTATTGGATCAGCACCAGTCACACGTCACTGCACTTTGGGGCCCTAAAGGTAGGAGGGGCCTATTGAAAATGTCTGATAAAAGTAGCTCCCCCTCTACCTTACACTATATGCTGATATTCACAGTATTACGGTAAACACCATTACAAGAGATCCACTATATGTTTAAGCCATGATTTTATTTTGTGAACCAAACTGGACAAATATCGTGAAACACTTTGCTGGAAAAGAGAAATGCTTATACTTCCATGAGTCACTAGAGGGAACCAAAGGACAACAAAAAACAGCTTCTTCAAAACACACAACAGTCTCAATCTATTGTAATCTAGAGTTTTAGCTTATTACCTACAGCTGTCTGCTGTGTTTTTTTTAAAGAAAACAGAAATATACAAACACTAAGTATAAAATATGAGCATATTTATCTAGTCTATGAACATGTTAATTTCCCCAACCATGATGTGGTTAGCACACAACCCTGACTAGCCAGTACACACAGAAACAAATTAATAGTAAGTTCGTGAGTAAATTTCATTGATAACACATTTAAAACCAAAGTGCTTTTATAATTCTGTCTAGAAAATAAAAAAAGAGAATATACATATTCAGTCTGTATATGAAATAACCCAAGAGCACCCAATCCTTCAATCCCAGTTCCAGAAATTAGAGGTCTAAAAACACAGAGACAGAAAAGGTTCGTCTTCAGCTGAGTCTGAAACTTATCTGAGGTCAGTTGGGGGGTGATTCCAGAGACTGTGCAACAATAGCAACAACACCCACTTTTGAAATGAGCTTAAACTGCAGGATGATCACAAGTGATTAAGAAGGCCTTAATGATCTGGAGGGAAAATACAGACACACTATTTCTACCATGTATGCAGGTTTGACACCATTTAGGCTTTAAACACAAACAGCATCTTAATACTGAATTCTATCATTCACAGGGAGCTAGTGCAAGCCTGTAATGATGTGATCTCTTCTCTCAGTCAATGTAAATGGATAAAAGATTAATGAGTAACTCTGGTATACAGTGTGTAACAATAGTCCAATTGAAATCAAAAAAAGGTATGCATGAGTCTTTCCAGATCAGAAGACCAATCAGAGAGCACAGCACTTAAACATTAAATCAAACTTTAAAGAGTATCTGCATCATTATTCAGGGTAAGTTTGATACTAAGAGTGTGTTAATGGGTCATATAGTACTTTGCTACTTCCATGCTTCTGCTGTGTTAATCAGAGATGAGCAGACCAGTGAGAATAAATAAAGCTACAGTCAAACTTGTGTGAACCTGCTCTGGAAGTATTTCAACAAAAGCAACATAGAGTAAAAAATGAGGCATGACACTCCCTCTGTCTTTGTGACATCATCAATCTCCTGGTCCAGTCCCTGTTAAGCCTGTGTAGGTGCGATCATCACTGTCACAGGAGGCATTTCATGGAGTCCAGCAAGGTCAGAAAGGAAAGTTTGATTTATTCTATTTAAAGAATTAAACAATTAACAGCTGTCAATCATTAGGTTATTAGGTCATTGATTATTGATTATTGGCTCTGGATAAATATAAAGACACCATGAGGAGAGTGGAGATAAAGTATGGACAGAACACCACTAGGTAGCGGAGCAGGGTCAGCGTGAGCTGTGAGTGTGTTGAGGCAGAGGGCGGAGCTCCAGATGTGGGCTGGACTGAAACTGTGCTTAAGGAAGAGATGGGTGGTTTTAAGGCTTTGATTGGAGGTCGACCTATAGAGAGAATCCCATCTGTTCAGGTGAATCCATAAATGAAATAAGAGGTGAAATCAGAGTGAAGCTCCTCACCTGTGACAGTGATCCAGCTGGATGGAGACTCTCCATGACCGCTGATGTCACACTTGTAGAGGCCTTCATCAGACCTGGAAACATGCTGGATGGTCATGTGACCTGTAGGCTCTTTCCCGATGAAGACTCCATCTTTGAAGAAAGCAGCTGGGAGGTTGGAGGGAGTGGTCTTTGTTTTACAGAGCAGAGTGACGTCATCTCCTTCCATCACAGGGGGGACAGGACTCTGCAGGATCACTGATCCACCTCAACACAGAGACAAACTACAGCATTTCATCCATTTACACACAGCTTCATCAACACTAACTCCACACACTCAGCTTACCAGTGACTGTCAGGTTAACCATGTTACTGATGGGACCATCTCTGGACTCACACCAGTAAACTCCACTGTCCAGTGGAAAGACATAACTGATGTTACAGGAGGAACCAGCTGTTATTCCCCACCGAACTCCACACTGAGTCCTCTGTTGTTTTCTTGTGTTTCTTGTCAGATTCCATCTCGTAGAGCTGTCGTCCTCCTCACAGCTCAGAGATACAAAGTCACCTTCGAAGAACTGAGATCGGTTGGGGCTCATTGTCAGATGAGCTGTGAGGGAGAGGAGAATACATCCTCCATATTTCTTAACAATTGCAAATCTTTTAAAATAACTAACCACTGTGATTGGCTGCTTCTCTGTATGGCAGCTTGTGACCCCTAGCAGTTTGTGGGTAGTACAGTTCCTTAATTGTCAATTATTGACTTGGATTGACATTTCATTTATGGTTTTCCAGATTGGTTTGCTGCTTTTTGGAACATCTGACATTCCCACTCAGTTGATTTAATGGGAGAGCATTGGAGCTCTATATCCACTGGCTGGCTTAACTTAATTAAGTTTCATTTATATAGCTTCAAAACACACAACAGCAGTTGCCTCAATGCACTCAGGTGCCTTTCTACTCCGCTTCACAATTTCCAACTTTCCAGCTCAATTTCTCTGCCTACCAAATCAATATAAGTCCATTTCTCCGTCTTTACTATCTAGCTGCTGGAAGAAGATGCAGAAAATTATCCAAAGAAAAAAAAAATAAAAATAGTGACTAAATTTCAAATTATACGCCAATGGTACATGTTGTCATGTTACTGTGTTATATGCGACCATGGATTGTATCATACACGTGTTTATATGTAGTAACTATGTTTATTTTTTAAAATGGACTAAAATGAACTTAACAGTTAAGTTAACAGTTATGTGCATGCCAAGCATGCTGCTTTCACTGTGACAAAACAACAATCAAGATGCCAGGGACTGTATTCTGCTAATGTGAATGTAGTGTTTTCAGTGGAAGAAACATGTCATCATATGATAAAACAGTAAATTCTTCAGTGAGAGCTGAGTCAGCTGGTTTACCCAGTCTTATATATATTATATTTCGGGCGATTGTGGCTCAAAGAGTTGGCAGTTTGTCTTGTAACCGGAAGGTTGCCGGTTTGAG